AAGTGCCATATTCAGCAGAATTTGAAAGATAAGCTTGTTCTCTCCAGTGATACCTTTTAGTACACACTTAGTGCATGATGGAGATACATTTTCTGTAGGTGTGTGATGCCATTCGGGTTTGCTTTTAGGTAGGTGTCTTTTAAGGTACTTTTTGCATGCAAGACAATTGGAAACTCTATACTCCAGTTTAGCAATTAACCCTGGAAACAGCCCGTTGAAAACAGGAGTGCTCCATGCAAGAAATAGGTTGTATTTGTGTATGGAGCTTAAGCTGCAAGGTAATTTTCTTCTTAAGGCTGGAAACAGAGTCACTTTCCAAATGTGAACTTCGGTATTAATTAACCTGGACCATGCAGAGAGGTTTGAGGCGCGGAGCACCTTTGGAAAGGGACCGTGTGGCACATCCCATGGGCTGCTGCCCGCAGTTGTGGAGCTGGGAAGGGGTGAGGCCCTCCTGCCCTTCTGCTGGCAGAGCCTCTCAGCGCAGCGCCCGAGGAGCCCTCGTGTGTGGGATTTCCCTGCCCGATCTCACGGAGTTTGCAGCACCGTCCCCATGCCCGGAAAGGGTTTGTGCTCCCATTGCCTGCAGCGTGCTGCCTGTCCCTGCTCCAGCCTGCCGGGCTAACGTGGAGGAATCAGAGTGCCAGCCAGGAGGGCTGGTGCTGGGAAAAGATGGACTCAATGCCCAGCACAGCCCCGTTTCCTTCCCTTTCACCTGCCTGACACGGACCGGTGCTCTGAGGCCAGCCGAGACCAGACATTTTCACCAGGAGGAGCCTGGGTGTGATTCGATTCAGGACTTTTGTCTCCTCACAGCCCTTTTACTTCTCTGCCTTCGTCTGGCCGGAGGCGCTGGGGAGAGGAACATCCCGCCACCCCGTCCCCCTGTGCCCCGGGGTGCCGGCAGCGCCGGGGCCTGGGTGCGCAGGGCGCCGCTGCCGCCGCGCACGGGCGCCCTTCCCCGCGGCTGCCGCTTTCCCCCTCGCTCTGCCCCTCGCTCGCAGCCCGG